TTGAGCGACCAACCTTACAGCATGTAACAAGCGCAATGCGCTAAGGCGGGCAGTAGGCACCGGAAACATGGTTTCTCATATACTTCATGCACCTTTGGAAATCGTGGGCAAAGAGTGCGCCTGTCGTCCTGCAACAACAACCTGTAGAGGAGGCTCTGGGACCAAGCGCGTGAAGCCTCTTTGCTCATTAAACCCCAAACAGCGCAATTGCACTCATCAACTGAAGCACCCAACGCCTGCAAAATGTTTTTCTTAGGCTTCATAGGGACATCGCGTCGTCGTAACACTTTACTGGCTAGAGGCCTCAAGTATCGGGCCTGGGCAGCCTTTATCCGGATGTCTGGGACTGGCGAGCCGCAATCCGTCACAACATGTCACAACCGTGCCAAGGTGGGTGCACCTACACGCAACTCGCGCGAAAAGAACACCTTTAGACTGAACTGGGATTCCGCATTGTTTGGGGTTCCAACAGGTCTCGGCAAGCCTTGGCACCAACACCTCCAACCCAAATCAAGCACTCAGTTTTGACAACTTGATAATTGGGTACTAAGTTCTAAGGTTCTGCCGGTGCAGATGTCATGCGCGATTTGGAAAACTCGGCTGGCACGGTCTCGCAAATCACGATACAAGTCTCGAGTGTCAGCGCGACTGATATGCTCCTTGACCTTGTCAGCAAGTCTCAAGATGTACTCACGTTTGTCGAATAAAGGTGAATCTTCGCGGCGGTTTTAGCAATCATCATGCGCCACCAATCTGCACCACGCCCCCTAAAGCGACTCTTCCTCCAGCCATTAAAGCAAGCGTGGAGGATAGACTGGTTGAGGGCTGGTTTATTTTCCTTCATTCATCTCTGCTACAAGCCCGCTTCCTCTCGCGCAACACCCACCAAGTGGCCTCAGGTACAAACGGCTTGATAAATTTTATAAGCCTGAGTGTCTCTCTGCTGGCATTTGGCTTGACAGAATAGCTTCTCGGCATGTGCGCGTATGTTGCACTGCCAGTTCCTGCGAAAGTGACGGCTCCCGTGTCCGCGACGTTTTGAACGAGCACTTGGACGCTGTTTTGCTCGCAACACAAACATTCATACCCTTGCCAGTGCTATATTTCGGACTAGGGAAGTTGTTCTGAGCGCATAAGGCCTCATGATCGTCATGTTTGTTTCCAAGGTCAATACCAAGGTCCAATGACTGAGCACCATGCAACCAAGCTCCAGGCACAAGGACATGATCAATACTCTTATGCCGCTAAGTACAAGGCACGCGATCAGGAAAAGCAGCGTAGGGGAAAGTGTTAACGATGGCCAATCCATTCTCAACAGCAACTTGTACAAGAACGTCACCTGCAGATCCGATAGGTCCCCGGCAAGACTCCCCACGACCCCGTCAATTCCAACCGCGACTGTACGGTTGGCGTCACCAAACAAAAGAACCGGTGCGATGGCCTTTATTGCTGCCAGATCAGCTTTGACTTGCCCCCATCATCAACCCTTGAGGAACCCTTACATCAAACATTGATATGCAAATTGATTTGAAGATTGCTTTTCGATGATATTCTGATTTTATGCTTACAGATTGTACTTCCTCCTATTGATATCATAATCAATCACAGTCAATTTGTATACTTGATTTCATTCGAAATCAACCGGCCTATTCCCCGATTGATCCTAATCAAAACGGGATGCTCAGGGTACTCTCAAATGAGATCAAGCCCCACCTACCCGTTTCGTCAGAGGCTATACGTCTCGTCCATATCCCCTTGCTCGAGCGAACCAGCATCAATCGCACTCTTCCAATCTCTGCGAACCGACGGTTGCCCAAAGCACTCTCAGATAGTGCGAACAGCCGAAGTTGCTGAATTGTTTCATTGTCTACATGTTCTGTTCTTGGTCTTTCGTTTCCGGCCTTGGCAGAACGGCCGAAGGGCTTTGGTGTGCCGTGCTACTGGCAGGTACCGGCAGATGGCTGGAACAATTACTTGAGTTTCGGCGGTGCAAGTCGGGACTTCTCTCGCGGAGCTTGAGCTCCACGCGCTCACGAGGCGGCAGCCCGCTCCGCCCCACTGCAAGAGGCCATTCGATCAGTACAGTCGATGCCGGCCCGGAGATCCGTTCACGTTAATTTGCTCATCGCTAAGATCTTAGCAATGGGAAGGTATTCCTCTTCCTTGCCCTTCTTGGACAGAGAGACTGTCGGTATTCTGCTGGTCTTTGCAGATATCCACAGTATGGCTCTCTGCTACACTGACCGTTGCCACCATTAGCGCTCCCTCTCAAGGACTGCATAAGGGCCGGGCCAGAAGAGCATTCGCCCAAGCTCTTGGAATTCGTAGGACCCGAAGAGCAGCAGAAGTTCTGTTTCTTGCCTGTAAAACGGCATAGAATATGGCGGTGTAAACATATCCCACCAGGGCTGCCAAAAGCCCGTGGAAGCGGGCTTCGAGAGATAGCTGCCTGAGCTCGCAATTGTCGTGCATTGACCTTGTGGGCTGCTACAAATTACAAATTCAAACATCGCTCCGCAGCCTCGCAAGACCGCGCACTTTAGACAGCAAAATGGCAAATGCTTCGTCCAAATAGCTGCCAGCTACCAATGCTCTGAGGGGCCGTGCTGGCTGGTCAGCCAGGCAGCCATGGCTGCCACGCCGCTTCTCCCCAAGCTCAAATCGACAATGCTGTCCTTAGATCTTAGATGACACAATCTTGCTGAGTTGGCATTACGGCGGTGGAATGACCGCAGCGCTCGGCTCGATCTGCAATAACATCTAGGCAACTTGTTCGAAGAAGGCTTGATTTCTCAAGTGTCCGCGGCTTTCTCGGTTGGGGAATGAGCTTGGTGAAGCTTCAACTAACCGCCGGTGCCGAAGACTCGTTCACAAATGCACTGTCCACCGTCCCACCACAAGAATCTGGAATCGGACCACACATGACCAGATGATCAAGAGCAGCTCTTAAAAAGCAACGACGCTCCTGTTCGTGCGGTGCAGAATCAAGAGCGGATGCGACCGTTGTCAACTAGTGAGAGCACCGGACGCTGCTTGGACAGTTTCGTGCTTGATAAGACTGCAATGCTGCAGGCTTCCGGAAAACTCGTGGACACTTCGAGGTTGTCGAAAGCCTGTAGTGGCTGGACGAATCTCGGTTTGAGGGATCCTGCCGAATAGATAGATCGTTTTGAAAGATCCCCAGCCGCGTGAGGATAATTTCCCAGTGCCACCCAAGGCCTACGAATTCTGCCTGGTGCGAAGCAACCCCCAAAGCATGCGCACGGCTTTTGGCTTTTGCTGTCTCGGCTCAGAACTCATACCCCGAAGCCACGAACTCACATCCGCTCAAAGCCCAGTGCCTGCATTTTGAGACGAAGCAGATACCCGAAATTCAGAACTGAATGCGCAACCATGTCTTGTGAGAGAAACGAACACAGGCATCGACCTGAAGCCGACACAGCATGGACCGGTCTATTGTCAGAAAGGGAAGAGAAGACTGCTCGGGGTGACTTGCTTACGATTTCGGACGAGCATCAACATGAGCCGGCAGCCTGCTACCAGCATGGCCCCTTCGGATGTTGGCCTCAAGACGAGCAAGTTGTCCGGATGCACGATATGAATAATCTGTAGAGCACGCCACAAGGTCAATGCTTGCACTCTTTCCAGCCAAATAGCATCGCTGATATGGAGCTTGTGCGGAATCTTCATTAAACTCTCGCCGGCATACACTGGTGCCGAGGTTTGAAGCATCGCTCCTTTTCCAGTCCCGTCAATGTAGGCAATTTTCCCAGACACCTGTCACTTCCGGCTCTGATTGTCGTATGATGCCAGGTAATGCAAAGATGTCCCTCATATGGACATGCTTACGCACATGCAAAAAAGGTTTCCACAAGTCGACTGATCTGGCAGGACACGAAGCCGTCGTTCTGTCGCACCCATTCGATGAGCCGGTGAAAACTTTGCTGCTTGCTCACCCCGCCGTAGAACTGCACAGCAAGGGCCATCGCCACACCAAAGCAAGTGAATGCTCCTGGGCGACAGACAGCTTCTGTCCTTCCATAGGCAACAAAAGGGCTGAGGATTCTGCCGTACATCCACATGGCGGATCCAGCGCCATCGTCCTCGCCAACAGCTAGCTAGCGCTGGCTAGTGACTACGCTCTGCAATCTACGCCTTCTCGGCAATTGCATATCGTAGAAGCCTTCGCAAGCCTCGGCTCGCAACCTATGCAGATATGGAAACGGATGTAGATATCTAGATATTATAAACTATAGATCTACAGAGTCTGCTGCTACGACCATCCTGGGGCGGCTTGGCATCTGCGACATTGCCGCGTCGCTTGCCCATGTATGCAGCCGGAATGACACAAAATCATGCCAGTCTTCTACAGACCACCATCATGCACATCAACTGGCCTTGCTGGTCATGCGCTGACAAGCATTACAAAGGCTTCTCAATGGTCTGTAAACAGGCTGTGAGAACACGTGGCCGCAGCACCAGGAGCGAGTGAACAGTGTTGAACTCGAAGCACAGCTAACACCGTGACTGCAATAACTAGGCTTGCACCAATATATACATATATATATACACACAACAAAACCGCGTGATGATGCTTGAGCTGACGATGATGATGCTGATGGCCATCATGGTGATGGAGATGATGACACTAATGATGAGAAAAAAGGTGACCACCATATAGCACGACTGCTGATGCTGCTGCTGCTGCTGCTGATGATGATGATGATGAAACTTACGAGGCATCGGACACGAAAGCAATGTTACACGGTAATATACGGTACGTGCGGTTTGGCGTCTTCCACGGCAGCGGAAGTAGGACCCGAATGAACACATCACCAAGCGAGTATACTCACTAATGGGCACAGGCCACGCTGACCCGCCCGCATCTGAGAGCCAAGCAAGCACAGTGACCCAACAGATCTGCAAACACAGATACAGTAGTTCGCGCAATTGTCATTGGAGCATGTCTGCGGCATGCAGACAGGCGAGCAACAATTCTCCTGCGGGTTTCCAGAGGAGGCCCAGTAGCGGCGAGAGCGCTGCTGCACAAAAGCAGCAAGGTTCTTCGCATAGCGTTGACCTGGCAAACGTTCCAAACCAACGCCCAGAAAATGCCGGTCCGCACATTAGGAGGAGCTTCTACGATGGTCGACGCTACACAATGCTACCCTTCGATGCATCTGTTCTTCCCGACCTTTGCACCCGCAGTACAGACTACACAGTTGTCCGGAAACAGCTCACGCCACTACTTGGAGCACAAGTGTTCCTGCCTTCATCTGAAAGGGTAGAGTTCCGATCGCTACCATTTTGGCCTCCAGAGCGGCGGTATTAGAGCTGGAAGCTCGAGCAAAGACTTCGCAGCCTTTGGTGGAGCCCGGTCCCGCCCGCGCGAGCCAAATCGGTCGAGAACCTTCTCAAAGCAATCAAGACCATTCATGAAGCCTCCCCAGACAGCCCTCTCGACTGCCGTGCTGTGGCTCTGGCCGATGTGGATTGCCATCAAATATGGCAATATGCCTGGGACGGGGCTGACAGCAAGGAACACTGGAAGCGAAGCCCTCGTCAACGCTTTTGAAGTAGAAACTGCCGAACTTCAGAGATCGGAGATTGAGGTCTTGAAAAAGGGACAAGTCCCGCTGTAGTTTGGGGTGCAGCCGGTTTCGGCGATTCATGATCTAGGCATATCTACAGTAGGCCATTTTGAAGTGGCAATGGCCATTGCAACGTTGGAATTGATAAGGCCGTGGCTGCAGAATTGAAGATGACTTCGGGGCTCGGGCAAAAGCTTTGCATTGACCAGGCCCGGACCAGGCGCCTGTCTTATCCCACCGCTACAAAACTTGAGTCGGAGATGCTCTTTGCCACGCGGCCATAGCAATGATTCGCCATGACCTGAACAAGAGGCTATCGATGGCTAGCGGCTGAGCAGCTGACGAAGCTCTTTCGGCACTCTCCGTTTTTCCATCTCGCGAAGCTGCAGACCGTCAACACATATGCGAGACGATCCTTCCGGGTGCAACCGTCATGGACGATGATAGAACCCGACTGAACCTCGAACAGTGAAGCATCTAGTGCAGTCTATGGACATGCACTTTTAAGCCGTCTTTGGGCTTCAGGTGCACCCCACTGCTGTCAACTTCCTGCTCAACTCCTCGCGCTAGTTGAAAGCGATATCGTGCGAGCAGCATTGGCAACCATACCTGGCATGGAGATACGGCTGTCTGCCCTGTACACACCCTACCTGGTTCCTGCCCTGGTCAGCTACCGAAGGGATCTGAGCACACAGTTCGCTTTGAGTCGAAGTCTTCAATGTGAAGACTAATGCACTTCGACCATGGATTGATGCTGTTAGGATATATGGCAAAATGGATGGCGGCCCTACTGCAAACACATACTGGCTTGACAGTTTGTAGGAGGGGACAAACGACACTTTGTCAAACAGACCTTCTCTGCAAGGGACCCCGGTGAGAAGAAACATCAATGCGAAAGCATGTCACGTCAGTGAAGCACCTCTCCTGGTTGTTGCAAGAAGTACAGGCAGCTGCTCATGCAGCTGAAACAGGTGGACAAGGTGCTCTGGCTTCCAAAGAAGAGACGTCCCTCCCGGGACAGCTGTGAGCGCCATAATTGTATGTCATCAGCTTTGCCTGGTTGAGTCCTGTAAGTCGAGTCAAACACCGAATGGGAAACCCGCGTCTGCTAGCACAACACAGCGTTGAGTCATCCGCACATTTCTGTCCTTCTGCCCACCGCCTGGGTTCGTAGCAAGCTGGATCGGAACCAAACTTTGTGGAGCGTTGTCCAGCCAAGACCTTCCGACTCGACGCAGCGGTACCTGCGGTGACCGTTTCTAGTCCGGCCTGAAAGTTGAGGATCGAACCCTTGGTGATGCCGTAGCTCCTGCGAATCGACGGGCGCCAGCACACTGCGGCAGTTGCTTTGTCGTGTCCTGCCACCCACGTCGATATCGAAGTCGTCGTAAGCCGTACCGGACAAACTTGGGGTAGGGGGGAGCAAGCGCAGTGCCTGTCATCATGGCAAGGCTTTTGGTCGGTGAAGCATTGCGTGTGGGTGTGTGTGTGTGTGCGAATCCCTGAAGCCAAGGGCACTGTTGAGAGTGCAGGGGGGCAGCGAGCATTTCTGGATTGCGCTGCCTAACAAAGACCGTCCAGATTTGCTGTGATATCAAGAAGGGACGCCTTCTTCACGTACCTGCAGTTTTTTCATGTCTGAAGAGTTTCATGTCTGAAGAGTTTC